TTCAAGACACCATTGGATAAAACACTGAGCAACATGGTCTGACCTCAGAGCTGGCCTTGCTTTGAGCAGGAGGTTAGATGAGAGACCTCCTGAGGTCTCTTCCAACCTGAAAGATTCTGTGAATCTATGACAAATAACTGTCCATTTCAGAAAGCAGCGCTTTAATGGGACTACTAAAACCTATTGCTCATACCTGGTGATTAAGTCAGATATAAGATCTACAGTGTATCAGCTTTATATGCTACTGCCCTAAAATCTTACTTGCCAGTGGATGACACAGGCATCATGATGACATACGCTTCAAGCTGCTATCAGCAGGCAAATGTTATTGTTTTAGCTAATACCTCTCTTGGAAGTTCAGTATTTCAGCGAGCCATGGGACATAAAGGCAAATCAAAAACTTGGAGGACCTTTAAAAAATTGGTTCCTTGATACCTGGTTCCCAGGTACAAGAAGCAAACTCAGTTTTGTTTGTTTTTGGAGGGCTGTGTTGCAGCTAAAATTGGTTCTTTATCTTTGTGCACTACTTCTGTGTTTGTTTAAAAGACTGTCATTATTATAGCTAGTGTATTCAAACATAAGGGACTAAAACTGGCTTCTAAATTAATTTATGGTTCAAATTTTTGAGCATCTGATAGTTTTCATTTAGAAATCAAGCAATGCATTAGCATGACAACATACAGACTTAAAAATCCAGCTTCAGCTTGACATGTACCGTTGGATCATTGCAGTGTTTCATATAATTTTAGTTCAAAATAAATACAGATTACCTTAGTTACAACAGTATCCCCATCCTGTAAAACATGCTCAGGTAGAATAAGGCTGAGGTTTTACGACCATTGTTCCAGTGTTTGTTGGGTGGTTTGTTTTTTTTCCATCTAGAACCCTTAAAAAGGTCCACCAAGAAAATGCAGGAGGATTTCTTGATGAGTGTCCTTAACTATTTAAATCTGATTTTAAACTTTGGTAGATCCAGTTCTATAGTGATTTCACTTTTGTGAGCAAGGCCACATGCATAACACCTAACATAAGTAAAGTCCTTGTAATGTTCCTAAAGAGGAATGTTTGAATTGTTATTAATCCTTAACTGATTGCAGTTTAAAAGTAAGAGTAACACAATGTTATCTTTTTCACTTACACTCTTACTTACAAAGAAGAAAGCATAGCAGGAGTGTTTTAAATAAGCTACAAAGCTCTTTATGCAATTGGTTATTCCATATGGAGGGTAAAAGCAGGGCAATCAGTGAGACAGCACTCTGGGAATACAAAAACAGGAGAAACGATGGAAAGAGTTACAATTACGGTTCTAAAGGGAAGGTGTAGCTTCTGTGATCCTAGGATTTAATCCAAGCACTGTGTTTGTAGTAAAGGGAAGAACAACTCTTCTCCAGAATCTAGGAAAATAACCAGCATATGATAGGCTTCTGGTAATTCTGGCAGATGTGGGCTGTGCTCCTGTGTGGTGTGATTGTTGCCATGTAGCCCTGCATTGCTTTGCATTTAGACAGGAGCTATGTTCCTTCTGAATCCTCTTGTTTCTCAGATCATACCTTGTGCAGACTTTTAAGTACTTTCTGTATTTACATAAATGAATCATTTATGTTCTGAAATGATGCAGTTTCCTCAAGAAAAAAAAAAAAAAATCTACCTGTACCCAAGGCTGTTTAGTAAAGGAACAGTGGAATGGTACTGCAAGGGAAAAGTTGAATGTAATGGCTTCATGATGATGTTTCACCTATTTCCTGCTCCTCCTTTCTATGGGGTTGTCCTAGTTGCCCCATAATTAGCTAGGAAGCTTAGCTGATCTTTAGACTTTCGTTCATTCAAGGTTTGCTTTTAAGATTTGATGGAACTTAAGCTTATGACACTGACAAAAATAAATTCATACTTTTTTGTGTGTGTGTGCTACTACAAATAAATTATGATGTCAAAGCAAACAGTCCAGTGCCTGAATTAGAATTCCACAACTAAAGAATGAGCAAAACTAGACGAGAGTGACTTATGGAGCAATATACTCAGCTCATTGATTTATGTTCCCATTATTCAGGTTTCACTACAATTCATAGCTTAAGTAAGATAAGCAAAATGTAATGTAATACTGATCTTATATGATTATAAATACGTATATATTGTTTACTTTAGTATTTAAGAGGACCTCTTATTCATAAGGAAATTCACTGTAGGAAAAGATATCCCTATTTTCTTGGTATATTTTTTTCAAATACAACTTTTGTCTTATTTTAGTTTCAACCGGCATTCTTCCACCTCCATCAACTACCAGTCAAAGAAGAGGTATAAAAATGTTTTGTGCAGCTACTCTACTTTAAAAAGCACTTAACAAACCAGTTTATTGCTGCTAATAGGCATCTAGTGAAGTATTAACATAAAAATTTTCTTTTTCTGACAACTAATAGTTTTCAGAGCCGATATTTAATTTGCTGTCACATGCCATTGGCTGCTACAGATAAATTCAGTAAGGGTGCTTTCATTGCTTTTCAAGATGCCATTGTTTCCTGTTCTATTAAAGCATCTTTGATCATTAGGATATCTTTTTATTCTTTCTTTCTTTCTTTCTTTTTTCTTTTTTTCTTTAATCATATGCTATTTCCTCTTCTTCAGCAGAAATTCTGATAAATCTTTTAACTTCACTAAAACCCTTAATGTAACACTTTATTTCTCTTGACAAGCCTTTTTATCTTCCTTACTGTACTTAACATGCATCATACAGTTGTAAAAGAGTTCAGTAGTTGACTTTTAATTTTGTCATGATTTTGGTACTACGAATACAATTTTTTGTGTGTGTGTCTCTTGATTTTTTTTCAACTTCATTTCCCTTGAACATACAAGGAAATCTAGTGGCATGGTTTTATCATGCTGTCAACTTTGGGAAACACCTGAATTCTTAATAACAATTTTTCTTCATGACAGTCTAATATCACTAATCTGGCTCAGAACTTCTTTTTGTATTTTGTGCATTAAGAAAGCTTCAAATGAGTCTTTCTACCAATGGAGCTGCACATCTGGGAGTAGACTTTCCCAAGTGTACGCCATTTTCAGATCAAGGCTGTATGACACATGATTTAAAAACTTTTAATCAACATTGTAAATATTGATCACTGATCCTGTAAAGGTAAGTATGTTTTACTGGGGTTCTGTCTAGTTTACCTTGAATAGTAGATTTTAAAACAAGGAAAAGTCTTTTGATAGTGTGTATTCAGCTAAAGGCATTTTGAAAGCTGTCTGTGAAGCCAGTGTACCTGAAGTGTACATCTTCCTGTTTGTGTTATGGTAGGAGCAATGACCCTCTGTCTAGTGAGCCTGAGTACAGTGCGTCCTTATGTACTACAGGTGAGGAGGTATCAAAAGGAAATAGATTATAAGAATGAAAAGTAGAAAGTCTTACTGTGCTTAGAACAGCTTTGGCAGTTACAAAATCACAGCACAGAACTTACACTGAATACAAACCCACTAAAATAGTTTATCTTGTAGAGTCCTGTTCACTCATGGTATAGTGGACCCAAATCCACCCCTAAGCCCTACACTGGGTACGGAAATAATTAGCTATAGTCATTGTAGCAATAGCTATGTTTCTAGGTCTAACTAAATAGACAAAATAAATTAGCCTGGGGCAGCAATGCTATGCAAACTAGATCTGTAGTATAAGCACTGTTAGAGTAGCAAAAATCTATGTCACAAGGATAGGCTTATTTTGTTCAACATTAAAAATCAAAAGTTTACATTTGTCAGAATGTTTTTTACCTGTACTGGAAGGAATTTGATGGGTTTGCCATACGTAAAAATTACAACATGTTCTCTCTAGATGGCATCTATTTCCACTGTTACAGAAAGTACAAGTCAAGACGGACCAATGGTCTGGCAAAGCTGGATGCTTCTTTTCTTATGCTGACAAATCTTTTCCTATAGACAAAGCCACTATGGGAATAAGTCCTGTCAGCACAAATGGATAGGGATCTGGTTCAGGCAGATAGTGAAACTGAAGGGAGAAAGAAAGTAAATCTATGTTACCAGGGTGAGTAAGAATGATGTTCAATAGTGAATAGTTTTTATTACTGCGCATTTATTATGGCATCTGTTGCTTCCCTTCCTTGTACTCCTTTATTCTCTCTTGCTTGCTTTGTTTGTAATGCTCTTTTAGTGGTCTATGAAGCAAAGTCACTACAAATAGAATCATCCTAAGTAACAGGCAAATAGAAGTGGCATGTATTTCAATGTGTTACTATAATCAAACTGAGACTCACCATCCGAGCCATAAAATAGAGAAAAATTATTTCTTATTGATGTTTGGAATCTTGAGCCAATGTTTTTAATCTAGGAATGCAGAAATTGCATCATAATATTACATAACGTGCTTTTGGGTTAGCTGAATCTCAGCATTAGGAGAATGAACATAAATTGTGGTTTCAGTCTAAATAGGGAAACAAGTTACTTTTCAGGAATGTTTTTTTAAAGGTGGCTACAATTATTTTTAAAAGAGTACAATGCTTATAAACAGTAGTTATTTGTAGTAGTTGTGCTGAGCCAGTATCTTTTTAAGTCAATGAGATATCCCTCATTATCTTAGACAAGAACAGGCCTGGTTTGTTTGTTATTTTTTCGTAGAGGGACAGAAAACCCAAACTCTGTATGCATGTTCCTGATGTCTGATCCCTTGTTACTCTGAGAGTTCCTTTAATAAATGTCATATTCCTTCAGTAAGCTATCTTCTGTGACAAAAAGAGCAACTTGGCATTAAAATCCTTATGCAGCTAAGTTTTCTTTCCAAAAATTGTCCAAGCTTTTCTTAGCAACGATAAAGACTAATGAATCTCATAGTATTCTTTCTGTAGCTCTCAAGGCCAGTTCCTCTTGGAGTGCTTTGGAAACTGCCAGATCTGTTGTTTTATAATCAGTAACTTTTGCTGTTTATAAAGTTGCTCATACCTTCATTTTGCTTTTAGAAACACAAGCCAGTCATATACACCAATGTCAGTTTCTGGAAGCTATGGTGAAAGTCCTGCTGCTTCTGCTACTTCAAAACCGAGAGTTGTTACTACTGCCAGCATAAAGCCCTCTGTCTACCAGCCTGGTAAGGTGACTTCGAAGTACTGAAAGGATTCCGAAAAGAAATGCACATATATTTCTTTTAGGAAAAGAAAACACAAAGAATTCACGTTTTGCAACAGCACACACACATACCAGGAAAGATTTGTATACATGGAACGAAATGCTGCTAGTTGCTAGTTTTGCTTCAGGTTATCTGAAGGTCAAGAATTATGTTGTATTTGTATTCTGCTTTGGAGTGAAAATGTGGAATAAATGGAGGCAGAAGAATAAAAACAAGGAAAAATCTCTAACAAAAAATCTGTAGCCTGACTTTTCAAAACAAATGCATTTGGAAAATGACCCAGCCTGCCCAATTAGGAGCCCAATGACACTTCAGAATTGATGAAATAGCTTAAGAATGCACAAGTCAGGAAGGAGATAAAATAAGTGAAGGTAGCTTGAGTAGAATATATTTGCAAAGTAGATAAGGCCATATATTGAACTTCTCAAAATCAGGCTTATATTTGAAATAAAGAATGACCTATTAAAGTACTTTGTAATGCTATGCTTCCATTTCCCACAGATCCAATTATTGAAGGAATATATTTGATTATTTCATTCATGTGGAAAATACACTCCTCGATGTTATTTAAATTCTGTTTGTAATAATGTGTTACAAATGGAGTGAACTTCTAAAACCAGTGATGACCAAAATGTGAACCTTCAAAACGAACAAATTAAATGAGGCAGCAATAGAAGTCTAAATGCAGTTCTGTTTCAAATTAAGCTTGTTCTGACCTTAGCAAGAGAATTAAAAAGTTGGTTCATATCTTGACAATCAAGTAAATATGAAAAGCCCGAGAATTCTAACAATCTTAAATTGTCTTCTGTAATACTCTTCTCTCTGGATCTACTGAAATGAAACCAATGCAGAAATCTTACTTAGCTGTAAAGCAGACAGACAGATCAATTGATCTTTGGATTTGAGATATACAGGTAGAAAAGGCCAGTTCAAAGCTATCATAAGCTATTTAAGGGTCTCAAAGTCCCTTTCAGCTTCTCCTCACTTGCTTTTGGTTAAGTGTGTCGGTGTACACCATGTGTTCACTGAAGGCAAATGTTATTATTTTTATGTTGCAAAAAAGGAAAGATGAAGACAGAGGATTTACTTCCATAAAGTAGAACAGAGCAAACTGCGGCAAGTCAAAATATCTCCTGAATACACTGATTGATACTATGCCCCATGCTCATTTGGGGGAATTATAAACCCCAGTTCTCAATACACAAACCTGCCATAGAAATAAACTAGTAGCTCTATCCAATTAGTAGCTGTATCTGTTAAAGAAAAAGCTGGCTGTTGAATTAGACTCAGAATAAGAGGCAATGCTTTTGTTTTCTCCTGTGACGGGCATCTTCTCTGCAATTCCTTATATTGCTGGTTTTGAGCCCCATTGCCTCCAAGTAAAGGCTTAAAATACTCAGGATGGAAACTATGTTCTGAGTCATTATGTATACAATGAACTTACTTCAACTGTATATATTGTCTGCCTGCGTGTGAAAAATTCTTATTTTGCAGGCACTGCAAGGATATAATGTACTCTAGAGAACAGGAGAAAATTCAGAGTATGTAATGTGATATATTACAAAGACAGAATTCAAATAGCATTAAAGTTGGCAGAGAAAGAAACAGTGGGTCTCAATACAATATACAATATATTGTATATATACATATACAATAAAGGATTCTTTAGTATTTGTAAAATTTATAAATATTTATAATATTCTTTAATATGTATAAAGGGATATACAATAAAGGATTCTAAAATAATTGAACCCCAAAGCGACTCTGGTACAAAGGAGATTACAGAAAGAGATTTTATTGAAGATGTTGGGGCGGGGGGGCTGGTACCTTTTTAAAGTTTTATATAATAGTAGCACTTCATACTGGTTTTGGAACATAAGCTGGCCCTAAAGACAGTTGCAGTCCTGAGCGAATGGGAAATTGTCACTTGGGAAGTAATGGAGGAAACAGCATTTCCTGTCACAGATTGGAAAGATCAACAGTACTTTGAAACAGACCATCAAGACAGTCAGAAAACTTCCTCACCCAACTTTGTCAATGCGTATAAATTCTGTCCTGCAGTGTAAAATGTAGCTTCAATCTGAGAGGCAAGTAATTTCTTAGCCTTCTATTTTTGTTAGTCCACTGTGTGAAAAGGCCAAAATAGTGGAGACTAGTATAAGGATTTGCAATGTAGAATTTAGAAGAGGAATGCCTTTATGCTAGCCCTCAGTTTTAATGGGAATGAGATGACCTCCTTCCCTTGACATGGGTCAAAAACTTCCAGACTAAAACACCCACCAACAGCCTCATATATGCAATATCCAGAAACCTGAATCAATCACTAAGAGGGTTTACAAGACTATTTTAATCTCTCAGATTGAAAAAAAAAAAAAAAGTAATGAGACTAAATTTGTTTAAACTGAAACCAATCTCAAAATGAAACTGCATTATTGAGCATCTGGCTCACACAGGAGTAATCAGTAAGTCCACACTTTAAAGCAAAGAAAGAGTACTACTTTGACTAACCTAACTCTGGAGGGAATTTTCTGCATCTAAAATTCTTTTTTTTTCTTCCTGTGGGGAAAATCTGTGAACTCTGTACTCTTTTCCCTTCTCTGTCCCATAAATTTCATAACCTGTTTTTAAAAGGAGCATAGTTTTCTTTTCTGAACAAGGTCCACTAGATGGCAGAAAATACTTATGTATTCCTTTCTCACAGGCTTTCCCAGACTAGAATCGTGGTTTCATATATTCCAAGCAACCCAAACACCAGTTTTATACTACGAAGTAATATGATACCAAAAGTAAGAAAGCCAATCTTTCCTTTTAAATCTGCAGGTCCAAATAAGACTACTCATGTATGTAAAAGTGTTCCAGTGTAAAGGCCTGATCCGCTCTTTTAGAAATTGGTAGAAAGATTCCCACAGATCTCAATGAACCTTTCACTGAATCCTAAACACCTTCAAAACTAAACTAGCAGGTTACATACCATCTTTCATTTTAAATTCTTCTGAATATGAATAGTGTCTCCTTATAAAGGACTTGTTGCATTATCTGCTTTGTCTGTCATCTACTATATACTGGAACAGTATGTAAGAAAATTTTGGCCTTCGAGGATGCAGCCACTAAGCATAAAACAAGCCAAATCAGTTGTGATTATGAATTACATTTGTTACTGGCAAATTATTACTAAGAATAACAATTATGTGTTCTACTAACAAAAAAAAAAAGGGAAATTGTTTTCACAGTGCAAGCTAGTATGTAAGACTAAAGCATTTTAGACTATAAATCCTTACTTTACTAAATAAATCTTTGGTAACATGCCTTTTTTTCTGGAGGGAAAATATCCATTGACCATAAATGAAGAGCTGATGGGGAGAATTCCAAATTCCCCAGAAGCAAGGAATTGGCTTGTTCCTACGCCTGTTAGGGGAGACATTTTCTCCTGCCCATTCTTTCTTTCCTACTATAAGAGAGTCTGAGGGCTGAGAGAAACAAGGTGATAGAGGCTGGGTTACTGAATTATTTAAAGTATTCATTTTTTAACAGTTAAGGGCCAGCTCATACAATACTGATGTTTTGAGAATCTATTCTCTAGCATACTGAATCTTAGTACTTTTTACCAGCAAACAGCACCTTTTATCTGCTGCATATATGTTGGAAGACTTTGAAATACATAAACGTGCAAGGTGAATTTGTATGGCAGTAGCTACTAAGACAAAAGAGGAGTTCATATAAGCTTAGGGATATAGCTATAAGATAATAATTTCCTCTTAATAGCAATAGCTCAAATCTCAAAGTTAGTGAAACCTTTCTAATACATTGCAATGACACTGTTATAAATCAGTAGTAATTCCAGCCTGTAAAATTAAATTATAATGGCTGAAAAGAAAACTCGGAGCAGTTGTGAATACCCAACATGTGTCATTTTGCAGTAATCCACCCAGTATCTTCTTTCAGCAACTGGAAAAAAAAATTATTTTGCTGCTTTATTTTACCATGGCAAGTACAAAAGATAAATAGAGTAAAAAGAAATAGAAGATAGAGAGAATGAAAGACAAAGACCCTTCCCCAGTGTGTATCCTTCAAAGGAGTCTAGATTAATCTGAACCCAGATAAATCGTATGCAGTCCACGTTGGTTAGAATAAACAAACTGGAAAAATAAAACATGGACATCATGAGATTAAGGAATAAAAAGTGAAAAACTAAGAGGTTGTAAGCTGAATTTACTAAAGACATTCATAGTAAAGGACACTCTAAAAACAGTACCTGAACTGCATTTGTTCTCTTCTGGAACTCTGGGTTTGAATATCTGACCATTCTCTTAGGCCTTCTGTGGGATACAGTGCTGTACTTTGCATGAACAAGAATTGGCTCTTGGGGAGGGAGAATCCTTTTGCAAAACTGAGTGAGCTAGAAGTCACCTTATTTAATTAGAGAGCCTCATAGGTGGGAGCCTTTTGAACTCACCAATTAGAGATGAAATATTGCCTTCTAATTTTGCCTAGCCTAATACCGTAATACATAAATAGCAACAGCCCCAGGGTTTAAAGAGATTGGATGTAAACTCTCTGTTCTGAAATCTTTAAACAGTGTTTACCATTCCCAAGTAAAAAAAAAAAAGAAGCCTCAGGCTAAGGTGGGATACAGTTTCATGAAGCAGAAACTTTGTTGATGCATAAGAAAGTTTTATCAAGAGATGCATTAGATTCAACTCTGAACTCAATAAAAAGAAGAAAATCGGAGATCAGGGTGATCACAGTGGATTGAGATATATGCAATTTTAGCACCTGCAACTGCCAATAATCACTGTATGTTATTCTACGTGCCAGGGTGTGGGCTAAGGGGGGAATGTGAAGTAGAACATAATCTTCTCACCACTTAATTATCCAGAAAGATTCATGTTACATTTGGAACCCTCTTCTTGTTTTAAATACCTTTCTACCTGCAAGCCCCTTAAAACTTCCAATATTGTATTTGGTCATCATTTTATTGGTACTGGGATGTACTATGCAGAGTTTTTGCCTAGACTGCAGGAAAGCTGACTTCTGTTCCCAAATCTGTGCTCTCTCATTCAACTCTCCAAGCTTCTGTTCCTTCTCACACAAACCAACAACCACTCACTTCTTTGTTTGCCTTGCAAAGGAAAAAACTGCTTTTAGTGCTCCTGTACTTGGCAAAGTGAGACGGTTTCTTGGGCAGTGACTTCAGTCCTACACAATGCAAGATCTGATGTTTTGAAAAGAGCAAGGCAATGGAAAAACTTGTTGGTATGTGCAGGCTCTAGCTTCTGCTTATATTTATGTGATTAAGCTCCACCCAAGATTAGAGCCTGGTGCATACAAACACAGAGGCAGTCTGCACTGAAGATTTTATGTGATAGTCAAAGGGTGGAAGAAAGGAAGTATAATATTTCTATTTTATACATGGGAACTGAGGCACAGAGATACTATGCTTTGCTCGAAGTCATACAGGAAGTCTGTGGCAGAGCCAAGAACTGAACTGATATCAGTCATAACCACAAGTCTGGCCTTCCTCTAAGTGCTGTTGGCTTTGTCTTGCTGGTCACGTGCGCTGAACTGGCTCCCTCAATATTGCTTCCAGTGCGCTCTATCTCTGTGTTCCCTGTGTGAGCCTGTTTTTCTTCAGAAACCTAGGAGTAAAACCTACAAGTGACAGATAACAGTGACATCTGTGGAAAATGCTGCATTTTAATTAATATAATGAGAACAAAATTTAAGCATAACTTCTTACTGAAATTATGGGGATTTCTGCCTAAAACTTTTATTACATGATCTGGCCTTTCTATTTTTAACCTGTCTTAAACAGATCATATGGCAGTCTTTGAAATTATCACAGAATTGTCATATCCATTCCTACTAGAAAATGAAGAGATGCCCTTGAAATGGTCTCCATAAAATCTGTAAAGGCAGTAGGCAATGACTTCTGTAATGCATGTGGATTAAAAGTCAGTGATTGTGCTGATATCCTTGGCTTCAGTCTAGAATTAATAAGCAATAATGGGACAGACCATAATTAAGTGTCATCTGAAGCTTTTATTTTTTGTGTGCCGTGGACTACCCTTTGGTAAGTGTTGCTGTTTTGCCATCAGAAGAAAAGTCTTTAAAATACTTCTTGGTTTCTTTTGGGATACTTAAAACAGCACCAGCACCAGTTCATTCCTACACCTCTGCCAACGCTGAGCCTGCAAGTCGCCCTCCCTGGGTAACAGATGACTCCTTTTCCCAGAAATTTGCACCTGGAAAAACCACCACCACTGTCACAAAGCACATCCTACCAAGGGGTGCTCCAGTACCATCTCCTGCCTCAACTTCTGCTTACCCACCTCCAGTTTCAACTTCTTCCCAGGCTCCTGCAATAGCCCGGGGAACAGTTCAGAGGGCTGAGCGCTTTCCAGCCAGCAGCCGAACTCCTCTCTGTGGGCACTGTAACAGCATAATTCGGTAAGGTCATGAGGTTTTGAAGAGGGCTGAAGAAGAAAAAAAAAATCAGACTGGTTATTGTATATAAATATACAGTACCAGAGCCTAAGACTCAGTTAAATTACCCAGCAGGGATATCTGTTGTCTGCTTCATTAATTTAACATTTCCAGAGCTCATTTTGCTATTGTGCAGTTCATGTTTTATCACTGCAAAGTTATACATGCTAATTGTTTTGTTTCTTGGATGCTGTGGCAAGTCACTTTTTGTTTTTTAATCAAGTTTCTGGTCCTAAGGTACCCCTTGAAGGAGGTACGTACAACTTCATTGGGAGAGTTGGGGGGTGGGGGAGAGGATTATGAAGAGAAAAGGAACGAGACATCATTTTGGAACAGCAGCCAAATGTAATTGTTGCTTTTGTGTCTGGAGAAAGATAATGCCTACACTCTATTACCAGTGATTCATAGCATGCCTCTCCCTTCTCCTCTCCCAATTCATTTTGCTGGACCGGTGCCCATTGTTACCCTGTGGACTCCTAACCAACTTTAAGTAATCCATATGTAATGACAGTCTCCCCCACTAAAAGGAGCTAGTTTGGTGATGTGGAACTGCTGATTATTGTCCTTTATATATGTTGAAAAGGAAAGACTCCAGTAATAATCACTATATCTAATTACAATCAAGAGTAAATCACCAAAATGAATTTAATGTGTCTTCCATGTAATCAAACAGCAAGTTGTCATCTGATAGTCTGACAGTTCTAGAACATGCCGCATGTAGTGCGCTCTCAGATGAAAAGAAGGCAGGAGACCTTAGGAGCTATTGAGGTGCAGGTGTGTAGGTTTAGAAATTTGCCTGCTTTTTCATGCTTTCAAATTGTAGTGTTATCTTCTGTGTTACAACCCTTCACCTTTTCCTGCTGTCTTTGCAGCTGTTTACAAAGACCACTTATAGCTATGCAGATATGAAAACAATTGATTTTTTTCCAACAGTTTTCTGTAAATCCAATATATATGACTAAACAACAATGAAATATTTTAACCAATTGGCAAAGTGTTTGAGTAATGATCTTGAAAAATACTGTTTCTATTTGGGGTTCTGGGTCTTATTTTAATATACACCTTCATGGTTGTAGAATGAAGTAGAATGAGTAGAATGCTTGTTACACATGTACGTGGTGTCTAACAAAGTGGGTTTGTAATCCCATTATAAATGGTCATTCAATCTTTTTGCAATACAAATAAGATAATTACGATTGTTTACAGGGGTCCTTTCCTGGTAGCCATGGGTCGCTCTTGGCACCCAGAAGAATTCAACTGTGCTTACTGCAAGACATCCTTGGCCGATATGTGCTTTGTGGAAGAGCAGAATAGTGTGTACTGCGAGCGCTGTTATGAACAGTTCTTTGCACCAACCTGTGCCAGATGCCACACTAAGATCATGGGGGTAAGAGAACAAGCTTAACCCTTTTTCCAACTTTGTGGTTCATTGAAATTAGAAATATTTTAGACTGTAAGCAATGAATGTAGATATTTATTTTCCCCTTTTCAACAATAATTTTCCAGCCTGTTGATTATTTCAGAATGAGAAACATATTATTTTATAATAATTTTTATCTATCTGAAATCTTGGATATTTCTGTACTTTAGACAACTCATAGACAGACTGTGTAATCCAATTACCATCTTACTGAGCGCAAAGTAACACTTTCTGGACAGTACTTTGCCATCTGATACACACTATGTTACTTTCATCTATGTTTTTGTTATGTTTAGAGTAAGAGACTCGAACTGGGGTTTTTTTAGTTATACAGGACTTTGTCTAAATTTCAATGGAGAAGTCAGTGATCTTGGAAGGAGGCACAATGCTCTTGCTGTACCTCACTGGTAGCTTGCAACACAGCTTCCAAGAAGAATTCTGCTGACTTCTTATAGCTAAGAAAATACAGAATAAATACAAAGACCTGAATTCCAGAAAGGCAAAAATAAGTGCCACTTCTTGTACTTGTACATGTACTCATGCTTAGGTACAAGTAAATTTGCTCTATGTATACCTTAGAGGTTGGAATACCGTAAGATAATTTTAGCGGTGTATTTATGCATGCAGCTATAGTGAATATATGACATGATTCTCTTAAATGAGGGAGCAACAAGTACAACACTGCTTAGCGCTCACCTTTTGACATCTGTCTAAATGTTGGCATTGAGAGACTAGATGCTTTTCTCCGCAATTACCAATTAGGGATGGCAGCATCAGGCATCTATGGTGAGGCTCTGGCTCCAACCAAGTCTTGCTTGCTACTGCGGCAGTAGGAGTAATTTTACAGCAGAGTACTGACTTAACTTACCTAATTAATGCTGGCACAAATCAGTTCCCCATTATGGATTTTCATCAGGAAAATAGCAAAGATGCCAGCTGCCTCTATTTATATTAATAAGATTTCTCAATGTATTTTTCTGCTTCTTAGCTCAGTGAGGTTCATAAATGGATCCAAACCTATTTATCAGTGATAGCTGTTTTGCAAACAGTAACAGAAGTTAATGAATCTCAAATGGTGATTCTCTAATAAGATATATGGCAAACATAAATTAGACTGTTTTGTCTATTCACTGGATTGAAAGGGTGGAATAGGACTTCAATCCCTTTTGTCATAGTCAACAGAGATTAAAAATAATCTTTAAAAGAGAATCAGAGTCTATGTATATAATTGCAAGCAACATAAAATAGGATCTAGATTCTCAGCTGGCATAAATCAATGCTGTTTCACTGAAGTTAATAAAGTTAAACTAATTTACACCAGTTAGGCAGCTGGACCTTTGAAATCTGGACTGTTTGACAGAGATACTGTTGAATATCATTTTGGGCACAAGTAAGATTGACAAATTAGCAGGTAACCATGCATCAGAGCTCAGTACAGCAGCTTTTGGACTTGGAGGACTTCTGTATGACAAGATAAGAATGAAGCAGTAATACAGATTGCTCCATACTGGATAGAAGAAGAAAGCTGATAAAATCTGGATACTCAATTCAAGACAACATCAGACATACAGAATTTGGTTTTTTTGCAATGACATGTGGCCTAGGAATACACACACAGACTCATTTTCACTAATCACATAAGTTAAAATCTAAGAACCTTTTTTTTAATATATTCACATTAGATTATGAAGTGTTCTTGTGAGAAGCTTAAAAACAGTACATAAGCTAAGTTGCTTTGACACATCAGACTTAAATCATTTATTCCCTGCATGCATTTCTTGGTCTTCGAGAGAAAATTACTCTTTAAAATTTATTTAACAAATCATACTCTTGCACTGAAGAGTTCATACTAGTCATGTCAAAACAAAGTAGAAAATAATCAAAATCTTTGTGCAGAATCTCTCCTGCAACAGCGACTGGGCATGTTGATACAAACAGCTGGCTGAACTGTGTTGTTTCATTTTTGGCAAATACATTGTTCTAGAAAGTGTGCGGTCCTATTTCCTCTTTCTTTCCAAAGGAGCCCAATTTCTGTCATACATGATTCTTTTGAGCAGAGGAATTGGCAAAATTTAGAGCATCTCTGCCTTGTCTTTGTTCTCCAGTAGGTAGTTGCAGGGCATGCTGTTCTGCTGGAGATTTTTGTTTGTTTGTTTGTTCTACAGGAAGTGATGCATGCCCTAAGACAGACTTGGCACACAAGTTGCTTTGTCTGTGCTGCTTGTAAGAAGCCTTTTGGGAATAGCCTCTTTCACATGGAGGATGGGGAGCCTTACTGTGAGAAAGGTATGGCAAACTGGACAGTTCTGCTCAGTACTCATGTGCTTCATGTTGTATGGAAGCAACATAAGAATAAAGCAACTGCTGAACAAAATAAAAGCAGTTACCCATCCAGCATGGATTTTGTCTCCCCTCTACGCATATACAAGTGTTTCCCTCTGTTTTCCCCCAATTCATATCAAAGACTGGCAGAGTCTTCTGCCTCTATGTCCCAGAATGCCTTACCTCATTTCTTTCCCTTACATATTATGATACTTGCCTTCTAGTTATTTTTCTACACTTTTTTCCCCATCCCGCCCCCCCCAGTAGATTCTGCTCACTAGAAATCTACATGTTATGGCGTGAAAAATTCTTATGTTAGGGTTCTGGTAGTGTTTCTATATGTAAGTGTGGGTTGCTGCCCACACTCTCTCTACTAAATTGCTTGAATTATGACTTCTGATACTGCTACCTCACCCTAAAACTGATTAACCAACACATATGAGAAGATAGCTCTGCTCAGATGTGCAACACATTTTGTTTTTCCAAGCACTGCAACAAATGAACTGCTTCTTACCAACTAAGAAAGGAAAAGGCCCAGTTTTCTCAAACCATGGAAAGTGTAGTATGGTTTCATAAATGGTGCTTGCCATGCAAATGAGTTGCCTATCATGGTCAGGAAGCAGGTTAAGGTTTAAGTGGTATTCCCTCTGTAAGCCCTGCCTTGTCCATTTAATGTGCTTCTGGCCTATTTCTCTCTGGAGATTCCTTCCTTATGGTTATGGAAATAAAATATTACAAATCAAAGTAACTCTTAGTGAAGAATGAAAACCATACAGCATGACTGACGTGGCACCCACCCTTTAAATTTGGAGGTTTTGCGATAACCTCTAATGACTCTCACGAGTTCCATATACCTGTAGAATTTCTGCTAATCTTGTTCAATATAAAGTCTTTCCAAATTGCACTGGATAATCAAAGTAAAGATGTATTAACCAGCCAGTATGGGGTTTCCATAACATTCTCTCTTAATGCAGAAGCAGCATACTGTTTCAGCATTAAAATAGAGAACATAAATCCAGTCATGGAAACTTAAGGGTGGTATACGAGCATAGTTTAAGGTAACACTCAATGTGTTTCAGTGAATGTTGTAGGAAACTCTCAGCAAAAACAATCCAAAAATGCATCCTCTGGAAACTTTCTATTTCCCTTGGATTTAATACGATTATGTTAAGAGTTTATTCTAAGTTTGCTTTTTGTTTTATTATAGACTATATTGCTTTGTTCAGCACCAAATGCCATGGCTGTGATTTTCCTGTTGAAGCTGGAGATAAATTCATTGAAGCTCTTGGACACACTTGGCATGACACCTGCTTCATTTGTGCTGTAGGTTCTATAACAAATACTGTCTCATTTCTTGTTACTTCACAATTTATGAGTATAATCAGAAGGCCTGAAAGCAGGAACAACTAACATATGCCTAAGGATGCAGAAGGATTGAATTTCATTTGTACCTGTAGATGGAGAAGGATGGGAGTAATTTCTCTTCTTCTCTGTAAACTTTTATTACAATTATTAAATTTAACCACCACAAGTGAGTGCTTTCTAATAAAACATACAGTTTTAGAGAGTATATACATAGTAAAACATAGCACTACTGCTGTTATTATTTCCAATGTTTACAAATAAACATAAAACAGAGTTTAAAATAAATTGACACTATATTGAACAGTATAGCCATAATCTTACTTACAAAGCAGTGCAGTTTGTATTTCCATGCAGAATGCTTGTTGAAACTTGCAAAAAGGAGTCTGTTTAGAGAGAATGAATAGTAATTAGCATAGAAGTTGGTCAAACTCATCAATCTGTGGTGTGTGTACAGCTATATAGTGGCCATATTCCCACACTCTGCACACAGCATAGTAAAATCCATATGATAAACAGTACTTTTCATATGGTTCTAATACAGCTGTTCTGCTCTACAACATATTTTTCCTACGGTAATAATATCCAGAGCCTCTAATTAGCTAAAAATAGTATGTTGGCCACACCAAAAATGACAGTGACAATTTCTAATGTTTGTTGAACTCTAAAATTTAGGTTGAAGAGACAAAAGTATAGAAATGTTTATAAATATGTAAAGCTAAACTAGCTACTGGTCTTTCAAGGATACATGGACATGAGTGACACAAGTGAAAATGGAAGTCTTTTTGAAATTCTAACATAGAAAGGAAAGTGAGTTTCCTTCACAAACTAACAGTCACTTATAAAAGACACTTTCTCTGAGTATTTCCTGTTCTTTTTTCCTTGCTCGTTTAACTGCATTCTTATGCATTTGTTTAGATTGGCAAACTAGTTTTCTGTGGAGGTGACAGTTTTTTAAATGCAGTTCTCACAGCCTTTTTTTGTTAGGAGCTAATTTTCAGTGGGTTAAGTCAAATGCAAATAAATACTTGATTTAATTTTCAATATGCTGTCCTCACATCCTTTCACATGATTTTCCTTCTACTTGCAGTAGCACATCACTGATGTTACCACTCCCTGGTTTTAAGCCTGCCATAAGCACTAGGGACAACATTTATTCTTATCCCTAGATTCTGATGTGTTGACTTCCTTAAGTGGTTCTAGTAAACTCTGGCCTTGCAAGAGGTGTTGCACTACCCTGTGTGGATATCTGTACAATTCCAGGGCAGTTTAAGCAGATCTAAACCTGGGCTGCCCTGCCTCGGCCATGCTTTATGTCAACACTGGCACTTAGGCAGCCAGGCAGAGAACTCTGTGGGTTGAAGAATAATCTGGTAAAAATAAGTAATTAGTTTTCAATGATACCAGCTGTCTGAATGACTCACTCCTCGATTGCATAAGCACCTGTACCAAGACAAAGTAATAACAGGAATGAGTATCTAATGGTACCATGGCAGGATGGTAGCCCTGGGACCATGGCACCTAACCAGAGCTTTTGTAAAATCATACATTACAAAGATCACAATCTACGTCTTAAAGTCTAAGCTAGCTGCATGTGCTCAAGTGTGCCACTATCCTTTCATGGTCTACATAAGCACCATGCCGAGGCTGCCTAGGGGATTGTGTACCCAGACCTGAGTTTAATGGAAACTAGTGAACTTAGCAGGTAGCAGTGGCAGGCAAATACAGAGAGGAGAGCTGATGCAAACCAAAACCTAACCTCAACATGGAGTAGGAAAACTACCAAGGCATGCATCCAGGAAATCAGATGCACTTCTTTCTGCCAAAGAAATGTGTGGGTATTGAAAATTTAAAGTTGAAATTGATAATCATATCTGTCTTTTTTTAAAAAAAAATTTTAATGATTCCTGATTGTATTTATTATTAATTCTAGGTATGCCATGTGAATTTGGAAGGTCAGCCATTCTACTCCAAGAAGGATAAGCCACTGTGCAAGAAGCATGCACATGCCATCAATGTTTAAAAGAAGAGTTGGTAGTCAGTAATGCTGGGGAAAAACAGATTACTAACTGGGCAATTATAAGGTTGATAACATGGTTAGCATTTCTCTTCGTAAAAGCTAGGAAGTTTATACTTCGGAAGTTTAACTTTAACCTCTTTTGTAAATGCAGTTTTGCAAGGTTCATACAAAAACCCACCGAATGAACAGTCAAAACTAAATGAACAAGTCCATTTTTAGAGAAACAGTTGGGGGAAATACTTAAATGAACTGAAAACTGTAACATAAAAAGTAATGCAAAAATACAGTTTCAAATGAACTACCCACAGCGGTTTTACTGCTTAGACCACACACTAGTGTTAAGAACAACTGGAAAAGTCCTTTCACAGTAAGTCATTTTCTTTCATAACAAGAATGAGTAAGTGCCATATGTACAATAATCTATAGAACCAAAGGTCATAGCTTTCAAAGGGAAATAAATAGATTAGGGTTACCTCTACGAAAAATGAATGCTATTCCATTTCACTGTGGTGCTACCTCATAGCATCAAATATTTTAGATTCTTTCCAAATAAGAAGTCTGCCTTGAATCCATATGTAGCTGGGAAGCTTAGGAGACAATCCATAACTTAGTTTGACAATCAAGTGGGAAGAGAATTAACTCCTTCCATAACTCAGTAAGATTGAGAAAAGCATGTTGGGTCAACTTTGCTAGTGCACTTGGCTTACACATGCACAGTAGATTAGTTCACTTTCAAATCATAATGGAAAAGGACAGCTGGCTTTCCCCAAATTGCTCTTACATTTGAATGGAATAGGGCTGGCTGGAAAGGCCAGCTTCTAATTCGAAACCAGCTTTTCCTTTCCTCTTGTGGAAAAAAAGTAGTCAAAGTTGCTTTAGTTTCTAATTCCCATTGATGGATGTAGGAAGCTACATCTGGACCTCCACACTGATGAACACAGAGACATCCATCTAGCACAGCTAGGAAGAGGGAGATAGCTTGCAAAAGTTCCCTACTCTATCCCACATAGTTAGGAAAAAGGCATCTTTTTTTTTTCCTATAGTAAATTAACATTAATTAAAAATTCATACGGCAGTATAACACCACAGACACATACTCTATGTCTTTTCTTAGTTTAAATGCAACATATCCTGAATTGTAGTAGTATTTGCCATTGTAAAACAGTAGACAGGCTCTGACAGGATAATCATACAGTCAACTTTTCTAATATTTTAAGAACAACTTTCAAGTTGTTCAGTTATTTATAAAACTTTTTTTTTTTTTGCAAAAGAGCAATACTTGTAGTACTGACAATACTTTTGACTTTTTCATTTTAAATATCAATGACTTTTTGTATTGGAGACAGCAGTTCTGTCTGGTAGAAGATAGAGTTAAAGTGAAAAGGCTGATCACTATTCAAGTTCTATTAATTTGTTTAAGTGAGAATTATGATGTGTGTTGACAGCTTGCAGTACTGACAGTTTTGAGTTAGTATTTCTGAGGCTGAGGATGCATTCGATGGGCCACATTATGGTGCCATCTGCACCCTATTTTACGTTGTATTTTGAGTAACGAGGAATGACGTAGGATTGTCTGCCTTTTCCCTCCTATGGGTAATGCCCATTTTAATAAAATTGGTGTGACTTTTCAGGGATGGAAAACTATCCAAAGCTTGGGGGAAGAATAAAAGCAATTTGGAGTTCTAATATGAGAGATAAGATAGCTGCAGGCAGTCCTCATCTTGGACAAAAATAACCTGAACTGCCTGTGGCAGTTTTGACCTGTATGATCTGTATTTATTCAGTAGGTATCTTAGTTCTCACTGATCTTAGCAGTGATCTGATCCGAGTGCTACAGGGTCAGATTTTTGTATGCATGACTTATTCTAAAACACTAGTACATTATATGCAAAGCCTTTTTTTTTCTATAGCAAACAAATTTTCTGTTTTCAGTTGGTGCTGGGCTGGTGTGAATATGGTTCCATTGATTACAAAATCCAAAGATCTGGCTTGTAATATTCTCTAGAGGAATAAACTGTAATCATGGAAGTTAAGTATTTTTTCACTCATATTTGACTTAATTAAATATTTTTTCATAACAGTGAGACAATTCTAGATTTCCTTTTACTTTTTGAATGTCATTCAACAAAATGGTGTTTATTATTCTCTGTTATTTAAGAGAATTCATATCAGCATTTTATATACTAAGACTGCATTGAAGATATTCTTTAGGCAGATTTCTGTGTTACCCACTGACTGGGACTAGTCTCTTACTGTCAACATCAAAACAGGGAGTGAGACTCCTTGGGAGGACACAAAATGCTAGGGCTTGTGATGCCTCAGGAGAATTTAATGGGGTCTTTCACCTCAAACCTGCATGTGTGTACATGTGTGTGTCTCCCTCTCCACCTTCCCACTCAATGTCCCTAAAAGCTCCCTCTTCACTGGCAGTGTGAAGGATAAAGCATTTTAGGAGATGGCCAGAGATGGAGCGCTGTAGCTTAGGCAGGGGTACAGTCTGTGCAGAGATGGCCCAGATGGCCAGCTGAAGTGGCCCAGGTCAGCCTGTGAGTCACTGGGGTGGACAGGGGTGTGGGAGATGGGGGTCTTGGTGTAGGCAGGGGAAGGGAGGCTTGGATCAGAGAAGGGAGAGCACCTGTGGCAGCCAGAACATCAGGGTTCTGGGGGCCTCTGGTTGAGTGTGAAAAGATGAGGCATTGAGGAGACGGGGCAGAGGAGGGGAGAGCCAGGATGACTCACTATAGTCAGGGGAAGGGCCTGAAGCAAGAAAGTACAAGGAGCTCACAACAGTCCATAAGAGATAGTATGAATATGTACAGAAGGGGTAAGCAAGCTGGATACAGGATCCAATCTAGTAAATTTGAAGTCAGTACTGCAGAAAAGTGAATGCAACTTATGTAAGCACAGCTAAGCTAGCTTACAGAGTAGCAGCAGTGAAAATGCAGCAGCACAGACTTCAGGGGCAGCCGTACTAGCTTGAGAGAGTCCTAGAAATTTCCTTTTCAGTGGGAGCCATACTAACTTGAGAGAGTCCTGAAAATTTCCTTGGACAGATAACCTGCACTGCAACACATGCCCTGACTCCATCTGGTGTCTGAGCAAGTGAGATTAAAGCTAGTTTACATATCACTATATAAGGTACAGTGATATCTCTGAATGAAGAACAGAGATACCCTGAGGATTATCATGTAATAAATTTCCTGTTTTGACTTGTGCTGCTTCATAATGTGGTCCAAAAATAGGGAATCCACTTACCCGCCCTTGATATCTATATTAAGATATAATTTTTGCACATATCTGAACCAGAAATTTGTGAATAATAATGTAATATTTTAACTTTCATAGGGGTAGAATAACACATAACTGCTGATACTCTTCTGCCACATGTCACCTTTGTGATATAGAAGGGGGAAAGATGCACATTTCTCTCTCTCTCTCTCTCTATGTCTCAAATTCAGAATAGGGCCCTTCAACTATCACTGAACACAAACACTGTACAAAAATACACAAGATGAATAATGTGTACTTATGTTTTATGTCTTGTAATAGATGCCTGGGACAAGTCCCCCATTCTAATTAACATGGGGTTTTATATAATAAAGATACTGTACCTCTGAATGATCAAAGACCAGCCTTTTATCTAATTAAGAAGTGTTCAATAACTTTTCAGTCAAAGGCTTCAAAAATTAACTTAATGCTTTTTCTCTTTTTCTGTTCTTTTTGCAGAACAGGGTAAATTAAATGTTTCCAAAGAAGACTGCTTTTATTATCTGGGAAAAAAACACTCTTATGACTTCTTTTTTTAGAAGTTAGTTTTTACTATATTGGATTTAAACATTACAGATTTCTAAAATTAATTCAAAACGAGGAAAAATATTTTACTTTGGTCCTTTAGTGGTCAGTACTTTGGGTGAAATGTTTTGTTAAAGATTGTTTGTATTTGTGTTTAATAATGTGAATGTCCACAGCACTGAACACGCTCATCAGTGCCTAATGCTGGGCACACTAATGTTTATTTGCAATACTTGTCTCCTGGTAGCAGGTATTAATTTGTTTAGTATTTATAAACATCAGAATTTGAAACTGAGTAATTTCTTGCCTGCAGTGATCATATTAGAAGTCTAGGTTTTATAATATATTGACAGGTTGACTTGATGCCACCAGTGCCCTTGCTTTTAGATATATAACTTTTCTTAAGTTCCTAGTTATTTCAGAAACAGAATGTAGTGTGGTTTATGAGGTGTGAGTAACTACCTTGCATGGATTATCTGTGCCAACATGAATAAAACAGTTTAGTAATAAAAGGAATGTGCAAATACAGTTAAAGCTTTATGATTTGGGCATATTTATTAATATGGCATGTGAACAGCTGACAGCTTTCAGCCATGTAATACTGATAAGAAAGCATACACAAACTTGTACTCTCTACTTCAGACCTGAAAATAAAAATTGAAAGCATTGGTTTCAACTTTATTGTATATCAATCTTGAATGTTTTATTCTCCAAATGTTAGTATGCTTAAAAGATGTACTGTACTAACAGTACATGTTGCAACTTAACAAGACTTGTATAGTCACAGACCTTATTGTGTCAACAAATACTGTTTATAGTAACTTTATAAGGAATGGGTAAATTCTGTCTTAAGTTACATCGATGCATCTGAGAACAAAGTTTCATTGCGTAAGTTCAGGTGGGTGTTCTTCCATTTCTTAGCAGAAGTGACTTTAAATAATACAGAAAATGTTTTAAATGTCTTCATTGAGCTCTAGTGCCAAGAAATACTTCCAAATGAAAGGATATCTTCATATAACAGCGTGGCTTATAAAAACAGCCATTTTGTGCATTCCTAATCCACACCCCTCAGGAATGCAGGATTTTTAAAGATACAACTAATTGTATTACACCTAATTAAGAAGTTACATGATAAATGGACAGACTTGGCTTTAGATGGCATTACAAAGTACAGCTTCAGGAATCACAACTTTGTGCACTTTGGTTTTATTTTACAGCCCTAATTTCTGTTTACAATGTACATAAGGAAAAAAAATTCAAAAAAATCAACAAAACACAGACAATTTTCTGTCAGTTCAAAATTGCTGCTTTTCAGATTGTCTGTTCTGACTTCTAACCTTTGCACAAGACAGTGGTTCCTAAACTGTGCACTGTGATCCCCAGAGAGGTCAGCTGTTGGAAGTGGAAGAAATAGAAGCACAAGCATAGCACT